GACAACATAAAGGGGTCAGCATGACCAGACAACAAAAGCAGCAGGGGGCAGAACAACATGAAGCAGCAGTGACAGAAAAATAAAACTTGAAGAAAACATGGCGGACAAACATGAAGCAGCAGTGCAGACAACATGAAGCGCAGTAACCACAGCAAAAAGCGCAGTGACACCAAATGAAGCTCGGACAACAACATGAAGCGCGGACAGAAAACATGAAGCAGCATGACAAAAACATGAAGCAGCAGTGACAGACAACAAAAGACAGTGGCAGACAACATAAAGGCAGCATGAAGACAACATAAGCACAGTGGCAGACAACATGAAGCAGCAGTGACAGCAACATGAAGCAGCATTTAAACAACACTGAAGCGCAGTGACAACATTAAAAAAGACCGTGCAACAACTGAAGGCAGCAGTGGCAAAAAAAATAAAGAGCATTGACAGACAACATGAGGTGCATGACGACAACTGAAGAGCAGTGCAGAAAAACATGAAGGCAGGGGCAGACAAATAAGCAGCATGACAGACAACAGAAGCAGCAGTGAAAGACAACATGAAGGCAGGAAACAACATGAGAGCAGGGGGCAGACAACATAAAGCAGAAGGGAAAACAAAAGAGGAGCAGGACAGAAAAACATGGGGTAGCATGACAGACAACAAAAGAGCAGTGACAAAACATGAACAGGGGCAGACAACATGAAGCACGTGACAGACAACATGAAGAAAACAGGAAAGACAACTGAAGCAGCGGGGCAGACAACATGAAGCAAGTGACAGAAACAAAAATAGCATGCAGACAAAATGAGGACAGTGACAGACAAATGAACGGGGCGTAAAATGGAAACAACATGAAGCACATAAAGACAAAAAGAACAGCATTCGACAACATGAAGCAGCAGTACAAACAACATAAGCAGCGGGGGGGCGACAACATGAAAAAACAGGACAGACAAAATAAAAAGGTAGGAAAAATAAGACTTGGGAAACCATGAAGCAGAAAGGGGACAACATGAAGCACAGGAAGACAACATAAAGAGCAGTGACAGACAAAATGAAGCGCAGTGCAGACAACATGAGACAGTACAACAAAAAAATGAAGCAAAGGCCAGTGACAGACAAACATGAGGAGCAGTGACAGAAAAAAGAAGCAGCAGTGGCAGAAACTGAAGCAGCAGTGACGACAACATAAAGCAGCAGTAAAGACAACATGAAGCGCAGGACAGACAAAATAAGCACAGGCAGACAACATGAACACATGACAACAACAGAAGCAAAGTGATGGACAACATGAAGCACAGTGCACAACATAAGCAGCAGTGAGACAACATGAAGCAGCAGTGACAGACAACATAAACACATGAGGGACAACATGAAGCAGCAGGTCTGACAACATAAAGCAGCAGTAAAGACAACATGAAGCAGCAGTGATGGAAACATGGAAGCGGGAAAAATAAACAGGGGAAAAAAGAAGCGCATTTGATGGAAACAAACCCATGAAAGCAGGCGGGTAAAGACAACATGAAGCACAGTAAAAGAAAACTGAAGCAGCAAAGACAACATAACACAGTGAAAAAAAACATGAAGCGGGCAGTGAAAGACAAAAATGAAGCAGCAGTAAAGACAACATAAGCCAAAAGGGACGCAACATGAAGCAGCAGGAAACAACATAAGCACAGGGTCGACAACATGAAGCAGCGTGACAGCAACATGAAGCAGCATGAGGACAACATAAAGCAGCAGTGTCTGACAACATAAGCAGCAGTGACAAAAACGAAGCTGCAGTGATGGACAAATAAAAGCAGCAGTGTCTGAAAACATAAAGCAGCATGATGGCAACATGAAGCACAGTGATGGCAACATGAAGCAGCAGTGATGGAAAACATGAAGAAAGGTCATAAAGACATAAAAAATAAACAGCAGTGTGGCAACATGAGCACAGTGCCCTTTGACAACATGAAGCAGCAGTGAGGAAACATGAAGCGCAGTGACAGACAACTGAAGCGCAGTGAGGCAACAGAAGCAGCAGTGTCTGACAAATGAAGCAGCAGTGACAGACAACAGAAGCAGCAGTGAGGACACATGAAGCAGCAGTGATGGACAAAAATGAACAGCATGAAGACAACATGAAGCACAGTGATGGACAAAGAAGCACGTATGGACAACATGAAGCAGCGGGTGACAGACAACATGAAGCAGCAGTGAGGAAACCCTGAACAGCAGTGCTGACAACAAAAGCAGCAGTGACAGAAACTGAAGCAGCAGTGAGGACAACATGAAGAGCAGTGTCTGACACATGAACAGCAGTGATGGCAACATGAACACAGGATGGACAACAGAAGCCAGTGCAGACAACAAACAGCAGTGAGGACAACATAAGCAGCGTGAAAAGACAACATAAAGAGCAGTGACAGACAACATGAAGCAGCAGTGACAGAGAACATAAAGGAGCGTGACAACAACATAAAGCGCATGACAGACAACATGAAGAAAGCGTGGCAGACAACAGAAGCGCATTGACAGACAACATAAAGCAGCAGTGACGACAACATGAAGCAGCAGTGGCAGCAACATAAGCAGCAGTGACAGACAACATGAACAGCAGTGACAGACAACATGAAGCAGCGTGACAGGAAATAAACCCAGCATGACAGACAACAAAAGCCATGACTACACATGAAGCAGCAGGGCAACACATGAGGTGCAGTGGCAGAAAATGAGGTAGCGTGACAGCAACATGAAGCGCGTGACAGAAAACAAAAAGGGCACAGTGACGACAACATGAAGCAGCATGACGACAACATAAAAAAGGGCAGGGGGCAACAACATGAAGCAGCAGTGACAGACAACATGAAGAACAGTGACAGACATGAAGCACAGTGGCAGACATGAAGCAACAGTGACAAAAAAACAGAAAAGCAGGACAGACAAAAAGCAGCAGGACAGAAACATGAGAAGCGTGACGACATAAAAGCAGCAGTGGCAGACAACATGAACAGCAGTGAGAGAAACATGAGGTAGCATGACAACGAGGAGCATGAAAAAACAACATGAGGTAGCAGTAAAAGACAACAGAGTACAGGGGCAGACAACATGAAGCAGCAGTGACAACAAATGGGTGCATGACAACATGAGGTAGCTGACAAAAAACATGAGGTAGCATGACAGACAACATGAAACAGCAGTGACAGACAACATAAAATACAGGGGCAGACAACATAAGCAGCAGTGACAGACAAATGAAGCAGCTGAAGAGAACATAAGCAGCATGATGGACAACATAAAGCAGCAGGGACAGAAACATAAAGCGCAGTGATGGACAACAGAAGCAGCAGTGACAGACAACATGAAGCAGCGTACAGACAACATGAAGCAGCAAGGGACAACATGAAGCAGATGACAGACAACATGACAGCAGGAAGACAACAAAAAAGCACAGTGACAACAACATGAAGCAGCAGTGAGGAAACAAAAAGCAGCAGTGTCTGAAACAAAAGCAGCAGTGAAGACAACAGAAGCAGCATGATGGACAACATGAGGCGCAGGACAGACAAAGAAGCAGCGTGACAGAGAACATGAAGAGCAGGACAAAACATGAACAGCAGTGACAGAAAACATGAAGCAGAGTGGCAGACAACATGAAGCAGCAGGACAGACAACATGAAGCAGCAGTGACAGAAAAACATGAAGCAGCAGTGGCAGACAACATGAAGCACAGTGACAGAAAAACATGAAGCAGCAGGACAGACAACATGAACGCATGACAGAAAACATGAAGCAGCAGTGACAGACAACATGAAGCAGCATACAAAAACATGAAGCAGCAGTGGCAGCACCATGATAGCATGGCAAAATATGAGGTAGCAGTGACAGACCCCTTTAAGCAGCAGTGACAACAACATGAACAGCGGGGGCAGACAACTGAACAGCAGTGACAGACAAAAAAAACAGGGAACAACAGAAGCAGAAATGGCTGACAAAAAGCACAGTGACAGACAACATAAGAAGCAGTGACAGACATGAAGCAGCAGGGGCAGACTAAGCCAGGGGCAGACAACTGAAGCAGCATGGAGACAACATGAGGTAGCATGACAGACATGGGTAGCAGTGACAAACAACATGGGGTAGCATGACAACAACATAAGTACAGGGGCAGACAACATGAGCACATGACAGACAAATGAGGTAGCAGTACAGACATGAGGAGCAGGACAAACAACATAGGTAGCAGGACGCAACATGAAACAGCAGGACGACAACATGAATAGCAGTGGCAGACAACATAAGCAGCGGAAAAGAAACATGAGGTACAGTGACAGGCATGAGGTACAGTACAGACAAAAAAAAAGCAGCAGTGACAGACAACTGAAGCGCAGTGAACACAAATGAGCAGCACTGCAACAACATAAAGCGGGCTGACTACAAATGAAGCGCAGGACAAAACATAGGTACAGTGACAGACAATATGGGTAGCAGTGACAACAACACTTTTTTCTTTCAACAAATGGGTTGTACCCCACTGAGACGGGGTGGCCCAAAAAGAAAAACAAAGTTTTTTTTTTTTTTTTTTTAACTTTCAAAATGTATACAGGAGAAGGGGTTATAGCCCCTTGCTCCAGCATGTTTTAGTTGCCTTTATGACACACATGGTTATGGAGGGAGAATTCTGTTTCATTTTCCCCCTGGAGTAAGGGAAAAAAAAACAAGAACAAGAACTAGTAAGAAAACAGAAAAAACCCAGAGGGAGTGGTATAATATCTTGACATGCATTGGGAGTGTGACCTAAGTAAGTAAAGAGCAAGACGACCTAAATCTTGCTGTTTATAGACAGAAAAAGAACCAGCAATCCTACCATCATGTAAAAAAAATTACAGACTTTCATTTTTTCAAATCACTTGGGAGGCCGGTAGTACCTCCCGGGCGGTTGCTGTCTAACAACCTAATGCTAGGAAATAAAGAACAATAGTTATTTAAACGAAAATTTAAAAAGATATTATGATAACCTTTTTGGCTTCATCCGGGACCCGTACCTTGGATTTTTGAGAAGTGCACGAGCAAAAGGCAATGCGCTGTTTTTGTCCTCCGGACCTGTTACCCCGTTTCTCCAACAATGTATTATAACCTCTTGAAAAGACTCTACAAATTATGAGCATTTGCAGTCTTGGGAGCTGCTATAACCCGCAAGGGAAAAAAAAATTAAACACTGAAGAGTAAAATTTTCTTAGCAAAAACCCAAATTTAAATCAACATTTGGAGGATCTTAAAATCTTAAACTGCCGTTATGTACCAGTATGTAATGCGATCGGGGCCCATGACATACTAGTATGCATAATTCATATGTCCTCAAATTTTCTTGAGACCAAATTTTGCTTTGACAGAGAGAAAAGGGCCTGTGCAGTGGGTACACCAGTATATAAAAAAAATCCCCTTCCATCAAACTCGGGGGAAATTTTTAAGGTTTTCATAAATTTATTGGCTTTTTTGGGGCCCAAAAGATAGACCAGGACAACTAGGAAAAGACTCACTTGCCCAGTTCAATCCCCCCCGGGGGAGGTTTGTTTGCAATTGTTCATGACAATTTTGAGAGTCAAAAAGAGGAAGTTTTTTTTAGTAGCTGGAAAGCCCACATTTTTTTCAGAGTGCTTTTAAATTGAATTTTTTGGAAAATATGTAAAAAATTGGCCAAAGTTTTTACTTCTGGGCATTTTAAAAAGAATTCTAATGTTTAAGAGTATAATTTTTTTTTATGCCATTTATCTTACATAACTGAAGATTTTAAATTATTTTTTTCCTTAAGTCTTGTCTAAAACAATGACTGAAAGAGGCATTACAGCTGTCATACCCTAGTTGTGATTGTAACCACTGTTATTGATATTTTTGGATTTGGAGGAAGTTGTGTACTTTTATATGTATAAATTTCTTCTAAAGTGTTGTATTCTAGCCCTGCAAAAACAGTGATTTTGTTGAGTGAGGGGAAAGTTTTTAATAGATAAAAGTATTTTTTTTTTGGGGGTTTTCTTTCTTTTTTGGGGCACCCTGCCTGGGTGGGAGTGGCCCACTTGTTTAAAAAAAAAAAAAAAATCAAGAAGTCAGCCGTCTCTCACTGAGGCAGGGGGGATCCCAAAAAAAAAGACAATCCCAAAAAATAAAATATTTTTCCCCATTCAACACTCACCTCACTCACACATAACACTGCTTTGTAGAGGCACCCAATACAAATTTGAAGATATGAAAAGATATATAACATTCCCTCCAAACTGTCAACATCCCAAAAACCCTCCTTTTAACCTATTAGGGGACCACCCCCATAAAAGATAGAGAATCTTTTCCCCCTATTAGACACCAAAATATGAAATTTGATGAAAACTACAGAATTATTTCTCCCGCAAGTTTTGCGGTCTTTACGATTTTTACGCATCGGATTTTGCCGCTTTGGCCCAATTTTTTTCCAATCCAGTGTACAGTTTACAAAAACATAGCATTTTCTAAGAACTCCATTTTTTTCTACGAACAGTACAAAAAAAACCACCCCTTTACCGATTTCAACTATCCAATAAATGGTCAAATTTTTGCAATTTTCCAATTTCATAAAATTTAAAAGATGCCAATTTTCCGGATGGGGCCCAGAAAAAACAAGAAAGACATTCTTGGCCCCTAAAATAACATTTCCTGTGTTCAGTAGTACGTCCCCAAGCCCCTCTTCATTCTTTTTCTTTCCACTTTTAATTTTTTTTTTTCACAAAAAAAAAGATGATTTAAAGTTATCAGACTATCACGGTGTAGAAAAGGTATAAAAAAATATCCGCACTTTTGAAAGAACATTTGACTTATCAGTTGACTGTATTGGATCTAGCAAGATTTGTTTTTCTTTTGAAGTTGGTAAAAAAAATTGAAACATTTCGCTACTTTGAGCTCAATTTCAAGGTACTTTTCATTGTAAAACCAGTCAAAATCATCTCAATTTCTGTAATATGTCTTCCAGTCTATAAAATGAGACCAGGAAAACTAGAATACAACAATACATACCATACGAAAATACAGTGCAAAGTCGCTGTTTTAATCCAAAAACACTGTCAAAGTTTTTTTTTCTCATTACGCACTGTGTGCTGCAGGATTTTTTTATACTGCGCACACTGACCACTTGGACCCATTCTTTCATATGTAGGCCTACCAGCTTTCTCTCACTAGATTTGAGGGCGCTAGAATTTAGGCGTACTAGTACATCAAAAACCCTGGTGTGTAAGCCGTACTAGTACGTCCGAAACCCTGAAAGGGTTAAAGTGCAGGCATTATACTTCCCATTTCCAGTACTCAAGTCCACCTACATAAAAAATAACTGGTTTCCCTGAACCCCTTCACTAAATATTACGCTGCTCACACTCCAACAGCTTGTCAGGTCCCAAAAACCATTCGTCTACATTCACTCCTATCTAACATGTTCACACAAGCTTGCTGGAAGTCCAAGCCCCTTATCCACAAAACCTTCTTTATCCCCTCCCTCCAACCTTCTGAAGGACAACCCCTACCCCGCCTTCCTTCCCCTACAGATTTATACGCTGATCCATTCTTTCCAAATGACCAAACCACCTCAACAACCCCTCTTCAGCCCTCTGACTAATACTTTTAGTAACTCCACACCTCCTCCTAATCTCCACACTCCAAATTCTCTGCATAATATTTACACCACATATTGCCCTTTGACAGGACATCTCCACTGCCTCCAGCTGTCTCCTTGCTGCAGCATTTGCAACCCAAGCTTCACACCCATATAAGAGTGCAGGTACCACTATACTTTCGTACATTCCCTTTTCTCCCTCCATGGATTATATATTCTTTCTTTCAACACACCAGCTATATCCCATCAAGGCGGGATGGCCCAAAAGAAAAAACGAAAGTTTCTCCTTTTACATTTAGTAATATATACAGGAGAAGGGGCCACTAGCCCCTTTTAGTCACCTCTTACAACGCGCATGGCCTATGGAGGAAGAATTCTGTTCCACTTCCCCATGGAGGTAAGAGGAAATAAACAAGAACAAGAACTAGAAAGAAAATAGCAGAAAACCCAGAGGGGTATGTATATATATGCTTGTACATGTATGTGTAGTGTGACCTAAGTGTAAGTAGAAGTAGCAAGACGTACATGAAATCTTGCATGTTTATGAGACAGAAAAAAGACACCAGCAATCCTACCATCATGTAAAACAATTACAGGCTTTTGTTTTACACTCACTTGGCAGGACAGTAGTGCCTCCCTGGGTGGTTGCTGTCTACCAACCTACTACCTATAATGGATTACATATCTTCTTTCTTTCAACACACCGGCCGTATCCCACCGAGGTGGGGTGGCCCAAAATAAAAAACGAAAGTCTCTCCTTTTACATTTAGTAATATATACAGGAGAAGGGGTTACTAGCCCCTTGCTCCTGGCATTTTAGTCGCCACTTACAACACGCATGGCTTACGGAGGAAGAATTCTGTTCCACTTCCCCATGGAGGTAAGAGGAAATAAACAAGAACAAGAACTAGCAAGAAAATAGAAGAAAACCCAGAGGGGTGTGTATACATATGCTTGTACATATATGTGTAGTGTGACCTAAGTGTAAGTAGAAGTACCAAGATGTACCTGAAATCTTGCATGTTTATGAGACAGTAAAAAGACACCAGCAATCCTACCATCATGTAAAACAATTACAGGCTTTCGTTTTACACTCACTTGGCAGGACGGTAGTATCTCCCTGGGCGGTTGCTGTCTACCAACCTACTACCTATAATATTTAGGGTAATAATTAGTGAAGGGATTCAGGGAAACCAGTTATTTTTATTATATTTTTTTTATTATCACACTGGCCGATTCCCACCAAGGCAGGGTGGCCCGAAAAAGAAAAACTTTCACCATCATTCACTCCATCACTGTCTTGCCAGAAGGGTGCTTTACACTACAGTTTTTAAACTGCAACATTAACACCCCTCCTTCAGAGTGCAGGCACTGTACTTCCCATCTCCAGGACTCAAGTCCGGCCTGCCGGTTTCCCTGAACCCCTTCATAAATGTTACTTTGCTCACACTCCAACAGCACGTCAAGTATTAAAAACCATTCGTCTCCATTCACTGCTATCAAACACGCTCACGCACGCCTGCTGGAAGTCCAAGTCCCTCGCACACAAAACCTCCTTTACCCCCTCCCTCAAACCTTTCCTAGGCCGACCCCTACCCCGCCTTCCTTCCACTACAGACTGATACACTCTTGAAGTCATTCTGTTTCGCTCCATTCTCTCTACATGTCCGAACCACCTCAACAACCCTTCCTCAGCCCTCTGGACAACAGTTTTGGTAATCCTGCACCTCCTCCTAACTTCCAAACTACGAATTCTCTGCATTATATTCACACCACACATTGCCCTCAGACATGACATCTCCACTGCCTCCAGCCTTCTCCTCGCTGCAACATTCATCACCCATGCTTCACACCCATATAGAGTGTTGGTAAAACTATACTCTCATACATTCCCCTCTTTGCCTCCAAGGACAAAGTTCTTTGTCTCCACAGACTCCTAAGTGCACCACTAACCCTTTTCCCCTCATCAATTCTATGATTCACCTCATCCTTCATAGACCCATCCGCTGACACGTCCACTCCCAAATATCTGAATACATTCACCTCCTGCATACTCTCTCCCTCCAATCTGATATCCAATCTTTCATCACCTAATATTTTTGTTATCCTCATAACCTTACTTTTTCCTGTATTCACTTTTAATTTTCTTCTTTTGCACACCCTACCAAATTCATCCACCAATCTCTGCAACTTCTCTTCAGAATCTCCCAAGAGCACAGTGTCATCAGCAAAGAGCAACTGTGACAACTCCCACTTTATGTGTGATTCTTTATCTTTTAACTCCACGCCTCTTGTCAAGACCCTCGCATTTACTTCTCTTACAACCCCATCTATAAAATATATTAAACAACCACGGTGACATCACACATCCTTGTCTAAGGCCTACTTTTACTGGGAATAATTTCCCTCTTTCCTATGTACTCTAACTTGAGCCTCACTATCCTCGTAAAAACTCTTCACTGCTTTCAGTAACCTACCTCCTACACCATACACCTGCAACATCTGCCACATTGCCCCCTAT